TGATACCCCTTGAAGAAGTATCAATACCTTATTCACAAACTCTTTAAATTTTTTTTCCTCAACGGGTAGTATCGGTACTGTTCATGTAGTACATCGATGCCATCGACCCAGAATGCTTTGTTTTTCTCGCCAAAAATACCCCAAATCTCTCTAAAAGTACCCCCAAAGCCCCCATTTGATATTTAAAGCTTATTTAGCACTAAAATAACATGAAAGGTCATCATTTACATGGGAATAATAACAATTCCCTTATTCATACTTTAAACCCCCTTAAGTGCACATAGAGGCTCAAACATTCATTCAAGCACCAAAACTAACACATGATGACTTACAAGCAGTAGGAAGGGTTAGATGTAGGTTACCTTACATCAAGAGTTGGAAATCAACTTAAGGTTCATCCAAGTAGTTCATTCTCTTTGTCTTTCACCCTAGAGTTTTCTCTCACTTGTCTCACTGAAACAACAATCAAATTGAGTTGCTAAGCTTCTTAAGGGCTTAGAAACGTCAAGTCTAGGAACATTTTAGAGCCGCCCACAACCTCTAAAACATAAAACATCCTTTAAACCCAACTATGGCCACCATGACCAAACCCAAAGGTTGGGAACTAAATTTAAAGCTCTTGAGAATGTGATTTCAACTCTTAGCTTCACTAATCCAGAATGAAAATGTGGAAGAACAAGTTTTCACCTTTGATTGGTCACAAAAGAGAGAAGAATGAGAAGAAGATTGATGGGGAAAAGGGACAATGGTGAGGAAAAATAGAGATAGATGAAAACTTCCCAAATGGTGTTTGGTTTCAGCGTGACTTCACCAATTCATAAAGTAGATTCAGCCTTTGAAATCTTTGAGGGGAAAATCTCACTTTTGGTCCTCCTTAGTTAGACTTCAACTAAAAAATATCCTTTTTAAAATTTAATTGGGCTCAATTCAAGTTCAATCCACCTCATGCTTGGACCCAGGCTTCTACAACTCCATTAGGTATACCCAAAACTCTCTCGAGTTGACATGAAACTGCTAACCCGAAATTCGGGGCATTACAAAGTTATCTTGAAAGATAAATTGCGTATCTAAATTCAATCATCCAAAGCACTAAAGATCAATAAGATAACAAAAAATCATCATTTTGATAAGTCGATACATTGTCAAATTCAAACCTAAGCAAATTAAAAGAAAAAAATGATGAAACGATCGATAATGAAGATCGAAAACATGTCAAAATGCAAAAGAAAGTGTCTCATAAAGACAAGTTATTGAAAATTAAAATAAGAAAAAAAGAAGAAGAAAAGAGATGCAGTATGAAAATAAAGGAAGAAAAATAAGGAATACAAATAGTCAACAACCAACATCGAAGTCGGTATCTTCAGCTGTTAAAAAAAGGCAAGACAAACTACACTATAGAGAACTTTTTTAGGGTTTGAATTCACTTTCTAAAAAAATTTAAAATTTAGTTTATTAAAATACACACTTTGATATCATATTTTTTTAAAATAATTATTTAAAAAATATAATTATAAGTTTAGATTATTGAGACATGTTTAGAGATTATCGAATTATTTAAATTTAATGAGTTTTGACTTGATTTATATTATATTAATTTGCTCATATTATAGCTTTGTCAAAGTGTAGAAAAAATAGGTCATAAAAATAAAATTATTGATAATTAAAATAATCAAGAAATAAAGATACTATATTAAAAAATAAAAAATATAGATGTTCAACAATCAGCATCAAAGGTGATATCACCCCCTGCCAAACAAAGAAAAAAGAAGAGCAAGACAAGCGACAATGTAGAAAATTTTTATAGGGTTTGGATTCTCACTTTCTTAAAAAAAATTAAAATTTAGTTTTCTTAAATAAATATTTGAGAAATTCAGCTAAAATACATAATGATTTTTGTTTAAAATGATTATTCAAAAAAATTAATTATGAGTGATTTTTTAGTTTAGATTATTGAGATATATTTAGATATTAGTAAATTATTCAAATTCAATGAGTTTTGACTTGATTTTATAAGATTATTTTGTACTGAGTTTGTTCATATCATGACGGGTTTCATCACTAAGAAAGTTAAGTATGAGTTCGAGATAAATAGATTTTCGATCTGATTTAACTCGAGACAATTACTATAATTTTTTGTATATTTAAAAGTAATTATTATAATATTTATCTATTTATATAATTTTAATTACCTTCGTAACTGTTGTAACCGGTTTTCGTCCGGGCACAAAATTTTTTACTTGTCGGGAAAAGTGATGTGAATAAATGGTTTTTAAAATAATTTGGGAGTCGCCATCGGCCTTTTGGGTCAGGTAGGTCGAATACCTAAAAATTATCTTTTAAAAGAATTTTTAAGAAAACATCAGTTAAAAGATGAACTGATATGCGTTTATAATCAAAAATTCATTTTTTTTAAAAGGGATTCGTGATTGGTTACGTTTAGGGAAGGATTAGCACCCCTACAACACCCAAAATTGATACTTTTTTAATTATAAATTGTTTCTATTTATTGGAAATTTAAAAATATATTTAATTCATAATCATGTTATTTCAAATTTATTAATATAATTGTAATAAAATCTATTAATTTATATATATATATAAATAAGATATTTATTTATTTAGAAATATCAGAAAATGACTTCTAGGTGTCTTAAGACAGCTCTTTTCTTCGATATTAAAAAATAAATAAATAACTAAAACATTTTCTTAAAATAATAATAAAATAAAATTAAACATATATAGTTCATAAATAGGATTTTTATTTGATATATACATATATTTATATGATTAGAATAAAATAAAACTAAAACATTAAATTAAATATATATTAAAATTAATAAAAACGAAATTAAATTAGAAACAGTAAAATTAAAATCAAATAACTGAAATATAAGATATGGAAATTAAAGATATTAATTTGAAATTTTATGAGAAATAATAGTTAATAGTGTAATTTATCCTAATTAATTATTTGGGATTAAAATATTAGCTATTAAAATTACAGTGGCTAAATCGGCTATTTTACCTAAAATTTATACTAAGGATTAAATCATAAATTAAATAAAATTCATAGACCGAATTAAAAAAATAGAAGTTGATTTCAATGACCAAAATGGAATGTTACAAAACTCGGATGGCTGCGGGTATGGTTATTCCAATTTTACAAAATTACAAATATACTCCTTCCCAAAACGGCGTCGTTTGGAAATGGGTATTTATACCCGAATATGGCTGGCCCTACGGGCCATTCTCTCATTTTTTTCCTTTCTCTCTTCTCTCTCTAACTGAGAGAGCTTAGAAGCTCTCTCGCCTCTCTCTTATTTTCCCTCATCGGAGGGAAACCAGAAGGCGGCCGGTCTGTATCTGGCATCGACTACCGCCGCCGGCCACCGTCAATGGTGACCGGAAAATTACATATCTACCTCAAATTGAAGCCCGAATTTTCCTAAAGCCAAATCCGAGGATATTTTAGCTTAGATCACTACCAAAACGTGTAGATCTAAGGTTCTTTACCTTCGACCTTTCGGTTTCAAAGACGTAGGGAGGCTCCGATGATAGCAGTTCCTTGGTAAGTCTCCTTTCCTCTTCTCCTTCTTTATTTGGCTGCTGTTGGGTGTTGTTGTTGCTTGTTTTTTGTCGTGGTTGTGGCTATTGATAGTCGTTGATTTCTCTTCTCTTCCTCTGTTTTGCTCCGTTTTCGTTTTCTTGTTGTTCTGCAGGTGGTCGATGGCTTTTATAGCCATCGACGGTGTAGCTCTCGGACCGGTCCCAAATGGCGACCCTAGGTGAGTCACCGGACTATAGTGGTGACTCACCATAGGGCTTCGACGTGAGGAGGGGCAGCTGGCTTTCTGGAAAGCTTGGTGAGGTGGCGTGGCACTGACGGCGGCGTGGCAGCAGCTGAAGCGTCAAAGTGGAGGTGGCGGCTGAGCAGAGGCGGCGGCTGGCCTTCTGGAAGATTGAGGCGGCTGAGAGCTAGGGTTTAGAAAACCCTAGCTGAAACTCTAAATTGGTTTAGGGTTTCAGTTGGGCTTCCAGATTTGTAATTGGGCCCTAATTTTGGCATGTTTGTAATAATAATAATTTTAATAATAATAATAATAATAAATAAAATAATAATAATAATAATATCAATAAAAAAATGGGTAAAAAAAATAGTATCTTTAGTAACTATGTGAATAAAATTAAAAAAAAACTTATTCGAGTGATTTTTTTAACTTAAACGAACCCAAATAAATGAAACATCACCGAATATTATATTCAAATCAAACAAAACATTTTAATTTTTGCATTGAGATCAGCACAGTAAAAATGACATGTCAAACATTAACGGGTTAATTCAAATAATGAGCAGTTTAATATCTCTTAAGAAGACTATGAATTTATCTATCAAAACTAAGTATATGATATAAATCGATCTAAAGATGAAAACCTAGAAATCAAGATGGAAAAAGAAAATGACCTGCCAAACCCTATGTTGATCCCTAACATATCGAGTAACATCTATGTATTTTTATAAGACAATAATTGTCATTATCAAAGTTCCATCTTAATGGAACATGAAAACGAATGTAGCAAGTAAAGTTATTTGTCCACTTGCCCAAGTTGACATATAACAACAAAACAAAAAACTCAAATGTCCAACAAAAAAACTTGAATCCTTCGCCATATTCAACATTTGCAAATAGCAATTATCCTATACAGAAAAAAAGTCTTATTCCTCCATACCTAAACAGGAAAAAGAGAGAATGAACTCGATTCAAATAATTTAATATTTTTAAAATATGATAATTACATCTCCTAACATCTATAACTGAAAACATGTTAAATAAATGAAAGTAACTTTCAATTAATCAGAATTTTCGAAAATATAAATCTATTGACTGACCTTTATTGACTGACCTTAGTAGTAGAGTGGAATATCATTTTTTTAAGAATTTAAATTCGAACAATCAGTTTTATAAAATATGTGCGTTATCTGAATAAATATTATATTATAATCAGTAGAAAGTAGAATTCTCGGAAATGGTAAGAAGTTCCTCCAAGTAATCCGTACCTAAATCCTCAAACACCACCACATTTTCCATCTTCACAATCTCCTTCTCTTTCCTCACCTTCTTCATCTTTTTCATCATCGTAGCCATCCCCTTTTTGCTCTTCAATGAGTGCCTTTTCTTCATCGTCAAAACAGGCGAACAACCATGTTCGAATCTATAGTTCATTTCTATAAGCGATTCGTAGACTTTATCCATGGGGAAATTGAGTACAGCCATGGAACCCCTCATCGCCAATGCAGCTCGATCATACGCTAAAGCAGCAGTCTCGGCTGTATCAAAGGTTCCAAGCCAAACCCTAACACCATTCCTCGTAGAATCCCTTATTTCAGCTGCATATTTCCCCCATGGCCTTCTCCTCACTCCTCTATAACAAACCTCTTCTTCATTCGCTTTCGAGTTCACTTCATGGTCGTCTCTAGAGCTGTTATTATTAACCGACTCGGTATCGAAAGAGCTCGTCATTGGAGCTTGGTTCAAGACTCCGAGGAGAAGCATCTCCTCGGAGTCGTTTTCGTTGAAGGGAAGAGCATGGTTATGAGAGTGAGTGAAGGAGGTTGATTGAGAAACATAGGAAGAAGATGACTCAGATGAGAATTGAGAATTTGGGTATTGGAAATATGTAGAATCCATGTTTATTTCACTTTGAATAAGGTGATTTGTGTGATATATATAGGGGGATTGAAATGATGACAAGGTCATAGAGGATGAAAAAGTGGTGAAATACATGAATATACACACAGGGTTTTTCAAAGAAGCATTATTTGGTCGTTAATTGAACTCTCGAATGAGGTAGCTACACGTGAGTCAAAGGATCAAATAGGCCATGGCGGCCAGGTCATACCATTTTTTTTCTTTCAAAATGAGTCGTCAGCTTGATTATTTGGTCGGTAGATAAAGGGTTTCCCTCCCACTTGACATTAGAAGCTAGCAAAGGCGGGGACAATGGGGGATGCTGCATCTTACTGCCTATATTGTCCACTGCCATACCAATGCTTGGATACTTGTGCATCTTAGTGTCTATCAAACTCTGAATTTTTTTTTGGAATTTCTCAAATATTTTAGAACTCTATATTTTTTTATCAACTACAATCTATTAACGTTATATTTTAACGTAATAGTGATAGACTCACGTAATTTATTATTAAATTTATTATCTGATAATTAAATTTATCTAATTCGACAATCCATAGATAATTATTATCACCATAAATTAGATACTAATTCTAAGAGTACGTACATAAGTTATCATGTAACACTGAAAAAGAAGATTCTTTTACTTCGGTTCAACCTCTCAATTGGTCATCTCCTTCATCCCACCAAACTACCATATATAATTCTTTTGTCTAAATAAAAGAAAAATAAACCACTAAAATACCACAATCTTATTAATTTTTAGTAAATGAATGTGAAGCATCTAGAAAATGTCAAATCAAATTGAAGATGATAATATAATGTACCTAGATTTATGTATTTAGTATTTGTTTTAAAAATAAAAGATTTTAAATTTAATTCTAATCCTATTTGGAAGGGAGAAAAAAATAAAAACTTTAGAAAAAGACAAATATTCTTAATAAATTTAGAATCTATGATCTACAAAAATATAAAAGAAAAAAATGACGTTCAACCAGTCAAATATATTTACTCATAATTTCTTAAATTCTATATATCTTATAATTCTACTTAAAATATTTAGAGTAATGTGACACAGTGTCCACATTTGTTAAGCAACTCCACCGTCGTTATATTTACTCATGATTTCTTAAAATCTACTTTGTTTCATTTATATTGTCCATCATTGATATTTTACGTAATTCTAGAAAGGAAAAATGTGTATAAGAAATGTGTTGTATTAATATCTATTGGAATATTGCAGGACTTGTTTCAAGATGCAAGGAAAGAGTTCTTTAATTCATTGCTTCGTTAACAAGAATTCTGCTCAACACAGCATTCAATTCTGTTTTTATACACAGCTTTAGCAATACAGAAAACCTCCTAACTGGTTAACAAACTCATAACAACCTAGCTTCCAGACTAACTTCTAGAACCTGGACATGCATGAGCTGCATGCTTATGTATGGCATTACACAAGCACACTCTTTATTCATGTGAGCCTGCATCATTCTCTCAACATTCTCCCTACTTTCTCAACCTTCTTAATGAAAAGATGAACACTTGAATCGAAAGTGCGACGCCTCCTTCCGTTCGACTTGAATCGAAAGTGCCGATGCTTCCTTCCGTTCACTTGAATCGAAAGTGTCGATGCTTCCTTTCATTCTTCTTATTCACCTTCATTTCTTTTTATTCACCTTCATTTCTTTCTTCTTCACCTCTTATACAAGGCTCCTTGACATATATATATATTCTCATGGACACTTGGCTGTGAAGCTTTTAAGTCCCATGACACTTTGAGATAGAAGCAACAAATCATGATGATGCACAATCCAAAAAAGGCAGCAATGCAACAGCGTGCAACACATCCACAAAAAAACTAGTACGAACAAAATTTATTTCCAATGACAGCAAGAAATTGAACTCCCAGCAGACTCTAAATGTAAACAAACTACTCAAAAAACTCTTAACAATTGACCATACCATTAGCTTTCAAGATGTGATCCTGCTTCATGTTTAACGTGTAAAGGTGTAACGTCTTAATCCCATTAGCTAAAATCTTGCGACACATTTCTATTCCAAGGTGAATCTCAAAGGCTTTGACAGCTTCATCGTTGTCCTTGATAGGCTCTAAGGCAACAGTAATCTCATCATAAAACAATTGAGTAACAATCAGATCAGCTCCTACATCAACCTTTCTCTTCAAGTACGCAAGATCGTTCTGATAAGCTTCTGGTGTCGCCACACCGTTATCTCCTATAGCATCGAGATGAGCCTCTGGATAACCGGCAACCGTTATGCCAGAGTAGTCACCATATTTAGCTCTAATATGTATAACCAGATCAAGGGCACATGCGAAGCTGGACAAACTTGTCCTGGCCATGAGGAGGATCGCCTCGAAGGGTGATAACGTTCTGAATGCCATTGGACTTGATGATCTCAAGAGCATGGTCAAGCTTCTTGACAGACATGTTGGTGCAAGTGAGATGCATCATTGTTTCAACACATATGATGTTTTGCACCTTGTTAACAATGTACAAAGTGAAATCCACCGTCGAACCACTTGTACCCCACGTGATGTCGCAAAAAGACAGATTATGAGCCACCATTCGATCCATCATTTCAAACAGGTTCTCCACTCCATCCTCAGTCTTTGGAGGGAAGAACTCAAAGGAAAACACCACTTTCCCTTGGTTTTGTGGCGAAGATTGGATCTTTTCAATCACCTTCATCTTTAACATGATCTAGGACTCTCAGTGCCAACAACACAAGTGCAGGGGCTTTGGGGATCAAGTGAGAGATGTGAAGCAGTCACGATAGAGCCAGCGAACTCCATGCAGCGCAAGAAAAAACAAAGTCAGGACCGTTTGGCGAATGATACCATAGTGGAATATTGCATGACTTGTTTCAAGATGCAAGGAAAGAGTTCTTTAATTCATTGCTTCGTTAACAAGAATTCTGCTCAACACAGCATAAAATACTATTTTTATACACAACCTTAGCAATACAGAAAACCTCCTAACTGATTAACAAACTCATAACAACCTAGCTTCCAGACTAACTTCTAGAACCTGGACATGCATGAGCTGCATGCTTATGCATGGCATTACAAGCATGGCATTACACAAGCACACTCTTTATTCATGTGAGCCTGCATCATTCTCTCAACAATATCATTTTATCCTCGTAAAGTTAAATTTTACTTTGTTTGAAAAATTCAAAAGGTAGAAAAGAAAATGTGCACAGTAAAAATTGTTGATTTTTTTAAAGAAAAAAATTTAATAGACACTTTTATAACACAAAAGAAACAAATTTAATAGGATACAGATAATATATATTTTATAATTATATCTAAAACATTTCGAGTAAATGTGACACGTGGCTTCATTCAGCAAACAAAAGTTGGAGGTTTTTTCGAGGGTTTTGTGTATGTGGAGTCAATTTTCCTTTGTGGATTAGCCTATTATAGGCATTAAGATTAAAGCTTTAAATATATAAAACCCATAATGGAAATGTTGAGTATTTCAAACTTTCTTCCAAAACAGCAAGTAACTTTATGGGTAAGTATACAAATGCTCTCCTTATTATTAATTGTTACTTTGTTGAGTCTTTCGACTATTACAATTTAAAAATAATCCACTAACTATAAAGTGTTGTTTTGTTAAGTTTATCAACTATTAAAAGTTACAAAATATTCACTCGACTATTCATATGTTTCAAACTCGTCCTTTTCCATTTTAAAAATCGATGGTAGTCTAAGCATGACTCTAGCATGCTAATTGAGATATGATCAAATCTGATCTCATAATCTCAAACGACAATAATATTCCAGTTAACGTTAAGCTTATATGACCGTCAAAATTTTAACAAAAAATGACGAGTTTGAAACATATGAATAATCGAGTGACCATTTTATAACTTTTAATAGTTTGGAGTCTCAACAAAATAGCATCTTATAGTTGGGGGACTTATGTCTACTTTACCATTAATTTATAAGGGTTTGTTTGGTTTCCATTGTAAAACTATTTTGGTTGCACGAGTGGGAGTGGGATTTAGACACAATCATTTAAGACGAAAGAAGCGGTCTAAACAAGAACATTTTTCTTCAGTCAAAATAATTTCCATTCAACATTTTGCTAGCCATTTGCCTTGATAAGATTTTCAGGAAACGAATTTTGAAGAATGTGCTTGGAACAATTCCGATTTGTTAAAGATTTATTTAAGTAAAAGTCTACAAAAAAGTTTAAATTTTTAAAGAAACTTAATATATGATATTATAAATAGAATATATAATTAGGGGTGTTCAAACTTCGATTTTAAACGAATTAATCAATTAAATTGAAGTTTTTTTTATTAATCTGTCAGTTAATTTTATGTTAACTTTTTATTAATCTGTCAGTTAATTTTATGTTCAGGCAGTTAACTATTAATGATTTTTCAAATTTTGATTATCTATTATTGATTAATTTGAATCGTTTAATTAATCGAGTTAATTGAAATTATTAAATATTTAATATTATATATATTACTTAGACTTTGGAGTGTTTAAACTTAGGTTTTAACTAAATTAATTGATCAAATTATTTAAACTAAAAAACACTAAATATTAAAAATATATTATTTATAAATTTAGATTAATTTAATTAATGACAAATTAATCAAACTTTGAAAAAAATCTTAATTCATAAATTTTACGTCATTCGATCCGAACAGTTAACCAAACCGATAGATTGAACAAACATATTTTACATCCCTTAGTTTAATGTAGTCGTTCTCTTATTTAGACCGAACATAGTTTCTTATTTATTTTCCTTAATTTTTATTCAAAATTACATATTAATTAAATATGAAAACTGACAGGTTGTTGCTTGACATACTAGCAAGCAGCAAGTTGGTCCTTTTTGGGACACCCATCTCCTAGGCGGCGCGGTCAAAAAATGCTAGTCGGTATTGTTTTTCACACTATTTGCGAGAAAAATAAAAATAACCGGATTAATTATACCTTTCTTTTGGTCTACGAAAT